GAGGAGGGAGTGACGCATACTGACCTTCATTGTAAGCTGGTTTGGTTCTTGATGGGTCTGGTGAAGTTCTGCATTCTGGTTGCGAAGAATCTTCTGATAAGCTGACTTTTCTAAACATTGCAGAAGCTGAGGGGGGCGGGGTTGTTGTTTTGTTTTTGGGGTTTTTTTTGTACCTGCTGACTCAAAGAACGAGGCATCTGGTGTCTCCTCAGCGTACTGACTTCCAAACCAAGGTTCTTCAAGCACTCTGTCTCTTGCAGGTGCTAAAGGAAGCAATTAGCACATACAACCTCATCAGCACCAACAGCATTGGCCCTAGACTCTGAAACTAAAGCTCAGTTACATTCTCCAACATCTTCTCTCATGTCTTACAGATTCTGCTCTCAAATTCAGGCAGAAGAATTGCAGTCTACACCATCTACACGGAGTTCCTCTGGCCATCAGGAAAGTACCCAACATGCAGAGTGGGCTGTTAATCTTCCTAGATCAACTCAATTACTAGCAGGGTTGGGCTATTAAAAACCTTTAAACAGTGATTTCAGGGCCACTATTAGGGGCAATGCACTCTGAGTAACAATATAAGGAGCCTTAATGAGGTGTGAACAGCAGGGACGAGGCTGATCCTCCATGAATCTCCAACCAAATTTAAATCAATTTAAGGGATGCCATTTATTTTGAAATCAAGGGAATTTGGGAAATCACTAACGCCATCTGTATGATTTAAATGCCTGCCTGCCTTACAGCAGGTTACTCTATTTACCAGGAAGATTCAAGATAGAAAGGATTTATCACATGTAAGCAGTGTCTGTATGCACTTACCACCAAACAGAGGAAAGCTAGATCAGATTAGGCCCCAGGGAAAGAGTACGAAGCTGCCACAAGTTAGTTTTTAATCTACTGAAGGGTGAGACTGTGCACAAAAGCAGTTACTGGGCACATCTACACATGCATTAAAGCGCTTTTTTTAACATGCATTAAATTTAGTACCTCCAATGTGAGGTACTAAATAAATGTTCATTAGGATGCCTTAATGTGCAGTAACAAATGCACATGGGTTTTCAGTGACACTTCATACACAGTAGCCCATTTTACTGCGCATTAGTGTAATTTCACGGTTTTTTATGTGATGCTTTAACGCACAGTAAGATAAGCTACTGTGCTTAAAGCACCCACTATAAAGCAGGTAAATCCCTGGCCCCTCCTACATCACAGTAACTGCTTCCTCAGCAGGTACACTCGGATCATTTTAGGACATTCTCTGGTACTTAAATACTCTCTGAAACACTGTGGATCAATGAGATTGCAGAGAAAGGTTGTGACTAAACCCTAGGATTCATCCTCGCGGGAGGGTGGTTACACAATGAGTCTTCTGCCCACTAACATCTGCAGAAATCCCTCTGGAGATGAAAAGTCACTTTGAATTGAGTCATTTCCTGCCATTCCTAACAGGATTTTTCCTGCATAACTGGAAGTGTCTCAGAGAAGACTTTAGGACCAACATAAAGCTTTTGATCCACAGATGCCCCTAGCTACAAAATAATATGGAAAGTAGCAGAGGGGTGTTTCACCTGCTCTTTCCTGCAGATATTCTGCAGCTGAGTCCATAGAGAAGGCTGATGAGTCTAGAGCTTCTGCAGCAAAATATGCGGCTTTGGAGGAAGGTTGCTCTGATCCCACCATAGCTGCGTAGGGTGCTGTAAGAAATAAAACACTCTTGTCATTGCTGCTAACATCCTATTGCTTCCGAAACTTAAAATTACCTATCAGATCCATTTACTTCCAGAGTAACCTAGTTTCTTCTAATCACATAAACAGCGCACACAAATTCTGCAGATAAGCTTCCCAGGAAGTGTCCTCTGGGAGGCACTCAACCTGCTTTATAAATTATATATGGTGCACCGAGGAGAAGTTAATGAAGTATTACTGGACAGGAGATGGGAAGATTTGAGCCTTTCTGGTACAGCGCCCAAATAAACTTTTCTTATGGCAGCTTTCAACTGCCACATTCCAAAAGTTGAAAGTGTGTTCGTGGAAAAACCGACCATTTGGGACTAAAAGGAAAGTTTGAAGGCAAAAGTTTCTCTGTAACTGAGTTTTTTGGAGTGAAAACAGATTAAATAAATATAGGAGAAAAGATGCAATCTACTTGATAAAGAGAATTTGTGACCAAGACACTCCTTGTTAACAAAATGTGAAGTGAAGAGGGATGATTTTCATTGTTTCCAGTTCAACAGATTTTAAACACAAAGCCTGGAATTTCATCTGGAAAAGCGGAAAACCAAAGCCCTGAACAAATGCAGTGGAAGCTTATACCATGAACTTCTTTAGAAGCTTCTACATGTTCGGCGAGTGGTGGAAAATTCTGTGTTTCAGAAGGAATTATCAGATCAGACAGGTCAACTTCTCTATACATCAGACCAGGCTCTGAAGAAAAAGAGAATAAGTCAAACATTACTACAAACAGACAACACCACACAAAATAACGTACCCAAGTATCAGTATTCTTCTGGAAGCTGTTACAGCAAACTAGAGCTTGTTGGGTGGCTGTTTACAAGATGACTGGTCCAAGACATCTTCTCTCAAAACAAGAGCATACATTCAAAAGGAAAACGTGACCACCTAAACTACTCTGCAGCTAAATGCAGCTACATTTTAAAATATAAATATTGTAAGCGGTACCTCCGTGATGCTCTCCAAGGACTAGCAGCACTTCATTTCTGGGTCAAGGGACAGACCAGCATAGCCAAGGTGAGTCAGCAACAAAAAAAAACAAACAAACCTCTGGCTCCATTCACAACACTGTTATATCCCCCACAGTATACTGAAAAAAAGTCATACTAAACTAAAATGCTCTCCCCTCAGAGCAGCACAGGGATACAAATGGGCCATTAGAAAAGGAGATGTCAGCAAAATGATGGGCCAGGCAAAAGGTGACACCTAGCTATTCTCCAAGTCAGTGGCTCCAACCAGACTGGGGCAGAAAGGTGGCATCTTCTGATGAAGTACATGATGGCCTAAAGAAGCTTGTGCCTCCCCGAACCAGTTCATCTAGCGAGTGCCTCCCTGCCCCACCCTGTGAAAGACTAACGCATGTCCGCAGTTTTCAGTGTTGGCCCAGACGGACACACTGGTTATAACAACTCTACTGGCACATAATCGGCAACTTGCCCAAGGCAACAAGTAACTGAAATCTCTCCTGTCCAGTCAATTTTTAGTTGGCTTCCACTTCAGCAAAGCTGATGACCTGTGCAAGTGTACCTCCCCTCCCACTCCAAGAGATATTCAGTGCAACCACATAAGTGAGGCACAGCAAAAACAGTACTATATTGCTAATATTCAATTATTTAAATGAACTGACAATGAACAATGCATAATACAAGGAGAGGGAACTGAAAGAGAAGAAATGAAGAGGGACTGGTCATTGCATCTTAACATAATCAAGAACACGTCACTGGGCGAAGGTGAAGATACTATGGAGTGAGGGCTCAATCATCTGTGACCTCTGAACAGTTTTTGGGATCAAGGGTTGTACATTATAGCTTCTTGGCTTGCACCAGGTATCCATTACAGCCTTCACTAGATGGATGCAACTGAACAACCTTTAGCTGCTTGCAGAATAATACAAAATGAGGGTTGGATGGGACCTCAGGAGGTCACATTTAATCCAATCTCCTGATCAAAGCAGGACCAACCCCAACTACATCATCCCAGCCAAGGCCTTGTCTAGCTGGATCTTAAACACCTTGAAGGATGGAGACTCCTCCACCTCTCTGGTGACCTGTTCCAGTGCTTCACCAGCCTCCTAGTGAGAAACTTTGTCCTAATATCCAACCTCAACTTCCCTTGCTGCAGCTTGAGCCCATTGCTCCTTGTCCTGTCGTCTGCCCCCACTGAGACCAGCCCAGCTCCAGCCTCTTTGCAGCCCCCCTGCAGGGAGGTGAAGGCTGCTATTCAATCCCCCTCGGTCTTCTCTTCTCCAGACCAGATCAGCCCAGTTCCCTCAGCCTCTCCTCAGATGAGCAACATTTCGGATGACAGTATATCCCTCAGCCTATGGAACAGCACACTACCTGAAACCATGCATTTCTGAAAAGACGGAATAAAAGCTGCCACAGCCCAATTTTCATGCATTCTGCATACAGAGTTCATAAGGTGCAGCATAATTAAAAGGATCCTGTTCATGTGTTCAATTCAAGTTGACATCAAAGCTGTTATTTGAAGGGGGAAGTTTTAAAACACGTTTACATGTGCATTGTGCCAGGTATGGCATGATTATGAAGCTCAGACAAAATTCCTCCACCTGTAGTCATGAGGCTAGGTGAAACGCAGAAACAAAAGTATGGCCTCAGTTAAAATCTTGGCCAATTTTAGCTTGCCTGTCGCTCACCAGCATAAACGCTACTGCTAGGGCTGCGTGAATAATTGATTTTTCAGTTCAAACTGAACTCGTGTCACGATCCCCAGAGCAACTATCAAAGTACTTTGCAAACTTCTCCATCATCAACATGCAAGATCTCTTCCAGCACAAGCCCAGCCAAAATATTTCACAGCAGAATCTGAGAGCCAGCAACGTGCAGCCAGTGCTAGTCACAACCGCTCCTTTGCCGAGTGTCCATTGTGTGGCTCAATACGCTCGCTGCTTCCACCGGTTCAAGGAGGCGATTGTGTTCAGCTGTCAGCCTGAATAGCCATTTGCTTTTGGGGGGAAATCAGACGGTCCTGTGCAACTTGCACAGACACCCATAAAAGGGCATTCTCATCTAACTAACCATTTTCCTTTCTGGCAAAAGTGGTTATGTACACAGGGCCTACAGGAAACAGCTTCTATAGTTCGGGAAGCCATGATAATAAGGATATATTCATTCTTCCAGTGCGAGAATAGGGTGGTGGCCTGAGAAAGAGGTTAATTAGATGACAAGAGTACAAAACAGGGACTCTTTCCAACTGCAGAGAACCGGTGACTACTTTAGTATCTGAATTAGTCATATTTATAAATTGTCTGGTAAAAAAATTGTTTCTTACTGCCTGAGAACGTACAAAGAGCCTATAGAGCAACTGTAACTACAGGAACGTTAATGCCAAAAGGACAGCTTTTCTCATGGGTTTTACTGTTACATAAAGAAATGGGACACTTGATGTAGCTGGCAATACTAGTCAGATGATATGCCACTTTATTGGATACAGTTTGTACCACTGCTGGGTTAATCCTTTACTATTTGAGTCTTCTAGGGCGTTTATACACATGCTCTGGGAGGGGCACTTTAATTAAAGTGGCTTCAAGAGCCACTCTAAAGCGTCTGCAGCGTCACATGTATCAGCATCCCCATGCTGAAAAATGGTGGCACTGGTGCTTTAACAGATATACATGACGGTGGAGTCTGCTGGAGCGTGGCAATGACTATGCTCCAGCAGACTCGATTAATCAAGTCTGTCCAATGCACTGTAATTACAGCATGTTGGAGCAGCCTTGATGCACATATATAGGTGCCCCTAGACTGATAACTGATGCCTTGGTTAACTACTGTGTGAAATTGCATTGCCTCTGGATTTCAAGACCATGGAGTGCCTTATTCTTCATCTACACATAGAGAATGGCATTTTGATGCCTCTTACCATCTGTTGTACTGAGAAAGAATGCCCAGTATTACACTTATTGGTGCTATATGAATAATAGATAAGCTTTACATCGGTGATTCTCAACCAGGGTGCCAGGGCACTCTGGGGTGCCAGGAGCTCTTCTGAAGGGAGCCCCATGAAGAAATGAGGAGATAAGCAGATAAGGGCAGGCTAGGTTCTCCCTGCCTAGCCAGTCCCCTGCCAGGAGGCAAGGACTGTAATAAATAAATTAGGTTTTGAAATTGCTGCTCAATTCACAAAAGTTACAGTGGGGGCCTTGAGTAACAAGGCTGAGAACCACCGCTTTAGATAGAGATGAATAGAGACAGGCAAGCACAGGGAAGGGAAGAAAGGGAAGCTTTATCTTTAGCAGCTGGGGAAAAAAAAGGTATAAAAACAAATCCCAAGGAGGATTTCTGTTTAATGATCTATTTTTATCCAGGAAAGTAACAAAGACAGCATTATTCCTCCCAAAAAGTGTTCCCAATTAAATGTTTAGCAAGCACGAGGAACACCAACTGCACCAGCTAGCTTCCCTTGAGGAGACCACAGTCAGTGGCATTTCAGCTCAGTTTGGGGAGCGCTCTCCAGTGTCCCGGAGCAGGGACAGAAAGCAGTGCATTTCATTCCAATTTGCCTGCCACTGTTTATACAGTAAAAATCCCCTCCGGGCTCAAATCTGGCAGTAGCACCCGAGCCTGGAAGCAGTCTGACAGTTCTGAATGAGAGGGTCAGAAACATTTTTCTATGTTGTGTCTATGCTAAAGACAGATGTGTTTTTAAAACAAATTATTGTTAATGCAAAGTGAGTATAGGGCAGACACTAGCTAATTTAAAAAGGTGCCGTGACTCATCACTGTGACTGTAGATAGGGGCCTCCCAGCGTGGAGCAATGCTAATTTAACGGTAGAGTTAAACAAGCAAGTCACCATGAGGCAAGCTGGCTTTGTAAGGTCACAGACCATTAGCTCTTCTGTGGGAGCTACCCACATGCATTCTCTTTACCCTCACTGAAAGCACAGGAACGTACCCCACTTTACTCCCCCCAGTCACTCAGGGGCAAGAACAGGCACTGGGGCAGTTACAGCCAAGTAGTTAATGCACTGTAAACTCCTACCTCCTCACTGGTTTATGCAGCCAAGCTAGAGGACTGACAGATTTGAATGACATGTTCCAATTTCCATCCCTGCACTCCCCTGGGCAGCGTTCAACAGGGACACTACAATCCTAACTAGACAAAACTGGTGACACCCCATGCAATCATTAACCGCGAGACAGGAACACCAAGTCATTAATTCTGGTTTAAATATGTGGTGTCTCATGAGAGCTTAAAGATTCATAGATTCATAGATTAAGGGTCGGAAGGGACCTAGTAGATCTACTAGCCCGACCCCCCGCCAGGGCGGGAGAACAACAAAAAACCCCAAAAGAGAAACGGGACTCAAATGAGTCCAGCCAGGTAGGCATCCAGCCTCTTCTTAAAGACCCCCAGGGTAGGGGCCAGCACCACTTCCCTTGGAAGTTGGTTCCAGCTCCTAGCCGCCCTAAC